GGAGAGGGCCCAGTCAGGCCCTGTTTTAGAGAGAGCAGCATGGACGAGGAGGAAAGAGCCAGAGGGGAGGGAGCTGGTGACAGGCCTGGGAGGAAAGGCTCAAGCACAGGAGAATAAACCAGGCCTGGTTTTTAACTGAGTCCCTACAGCTTTCCATCCATCCGTCTGGTCACTCATCCATTTGTTCATTCATCCAACAGATACTTGTTATGAGGAGCCAGACTCTGTACTAGACACTGGAGTTAGGTCCATGAGAAAGAGAGATCTGGGTCCCTGCCCCCATGAAGACTCAAATGCTCTAGTAGGAAAAAGAGATGATAAACCAACAGCCAGAGTAATAAAGACAGGGTGGTCGTACACTGAATGGGCCAATGGAGCAGGAAAGAGAAGCCAGACACAGAACCCATGTGTCAGATAAGGGTGGTAGGAGTAAAGAGGATAGGCTTTCTACACATGGTGCTGGGCCAGGAGGGTGTCCAAGTGGAAAAACCCCCATGAACAAGATCCCTACCTCACACCATCAACACATTCATTTCCAGTGGATTCAACACCTGAACATAAGAGGCAAAACAACAAAAGTTCTAGAAGACAATACAGAAACAAGGCCGGGCAAGGTGGCTCATGCCTGTAATCCCAGCACTCTGGGAGGCTAAGGTGGGTGGATCACTTGAAGTCAGGAGTTCAAGAGCAGCCTGGCCAACACGGTGAAACCCCATCTGTACAAAAATTAGCCAGGCATGATGGCAGGTGCCTGTAATCCCAGCTACTCGGGAGGCTGAGGTGAGAGGATCACTTGAACCCAGCAGGTGGAGATTGCAGTGAGCCAAGATCACGTCATTGCACTCTAGCCTGGGCAACAAAATGAGATTCCATCTCAAGAAAGAAAAAAAAAAGAAACAAATCCTCATGATTTCAGAGGACAGAAGATGAAGATCTCTGCAATAAGGTACCAAAAGCATTTATCACAAAGAAAAACATGAAGATATTTGACCACACCAAAATTTAAAACTTCTGTTCACTCCAAGGCTCTGCTAAGAGGGAGAAAAGGCAGGTCACAGAGGGGGAAAAGCTATTCATAACATTACAACTGAGAAAAGGCTCGTACCCACATTCAGAATACATGAAGCGTCTCCATGAACAAGTAAGAAAAAGGTAACCCAATTATTGTTTTTAATAGGCAAAAGACTTGAGTACTTCCCAAAAGAGGAAATCGAAGTGGCCAATCAACATGGGAGAAGATTCTCAGCCTCTCTGGCCATTAGGGAAATGCAAATGAAAACCACCCAGAGATACTGCACCAGCACACAGCCATGAGAATCAACCCACTGCAAGGACTGAAATGGGAACAGGTGAGCAAGCACTGAGCAGGGGGTCTGGCTTATGCAAAGGCTGGGTAAGCACAGGATACGGATGGTCAAAGGCCCCCACCCCCAATGGTTATAGGCCCTTGTCAAACCTGAGCTCCTGGGAGGCAGGCCTGATCCATTTCAGGGTCTCCCAAGAGCCAGGCACGTGACAAACCACAGTGGTCTTCAGCGTGTGCAGCTCCGCAGACGAGGAAGTCACAACCATTACAATCTGACCCACTGAGGACTTCTTGAGCCCAGGAGTTTGAAATTAGTCTGAGCAACATCATGAGATCCCATCTCTACAAATAATGTTAAAAATTAGCCGGGAGCGGTGGTACATACCTGTGGTCCCAGCTGCTCGGGAGTCTGAGATGGGAGGATCACTTGAGCCCGTGCAGTCCAGGCTGCAGTGAGCTGTGACTCCAGTTTGGGCGACAGAGCAAGAGCCCATCTCCAGGGAAAAAGAAAATCTCCCAACCAGAGTATCTCTTAGTGGTAACAGGAGAAAAGCCAGTTGCCATAACCATATGTTAGCTTTTCGCTTCCCCTTCCTAGCTTGCTATGTAAAGCCCTCAATATCAAGGCTAGCCTCCAAGTCTAGCAGAGAGAGGACCTCCCAGGAATGGGCCCATGTATCCCTCTGCTTACAGGGGAACTGCCAACCACAGGCAGTGGACGTGTAGCCCTGTAAGGGGGAAGGGGCTGGTAGGACACTAGGCCCACCCACAGCAGACTCCTGCTTGCATGCCCCTTGCGATGGGCAGCTCACTACTTGATAAGGCCACACTGCCTCTCCCCTGGGCTCCTGTCTACGGGGGAGTCTTCCCGAACTGGTGAGACTGCCTCCTGTCACTTCCTTCTGTCCCCTGCTCTGCTGTCTACCTCCTAGGGCCATATGGTGAACACATCTGCCCCTCAACCTGGTCGGCCTTGCCCACGTGTCCAGCTGCAGCTGCTGTTAGGTCACTCGTTGCTAGTGTTTATTCCATCCCTGCTCCCTGCCTGCTGGTCTAACTGTGCTTCTAAAGCTGGAAGGGATTCCTCCTGTGGTAGCCAATAAGTGAAGGGCAGAGGGGAAAGAAAAGGAAAATCCGGAACATCTGAACTTCACAATGATCACAAGCAGCTCTGCCACCGGCACCTCCCGAACGAGCCACCATGTGCCCAGGCAGCTGGTGCCAAGGGAGTGGGGGGCCCCAGCCTGAACCTCAACAGACAGTTGGCAAGGGGGCACACAACCCCCATATATACCCCATTCGACGCCAGACAGGATCGGCAGCCAGGCCGGGGTTCTTCAGCCGTGAATACTTTCTTAGGGGCTGGTTAATTCCTCTTCCAATCGTGTTGCTGCTAGTACCACCTGGGGATACCAGCAAAGGAGCGTCCCTCTCCACCAAGAGACTCTCAGGGTAGAGCCCCGTGCTCCCCAGATCACCTCACGTCATCTTCCCACTTACTGGGAAGCCCGGGGCTCAGGGAGGGTACCTGACACCTTCAGAAGTCCTGGCTCCCGGCAGCCTGCTGGGCGGATGGGGTAAGGCCACGGACCCAGGGACCTAGGTTCTGGTGGCACCTAACAAGATCTGGCTGCCCAGCCTCTGCTCTCTTGCTGTCATCCACCCAGGTCCCTGGAAGCCACATGCAGCTCTGTAGTCTCCAAAATGCCCTAGGCCCTCTCAAGCCTCCTGGCCTTTGCCCAGCCTGTTCCCTCTGCCTGCCACACCCTTTCACCACACTTAGCTGCCTGTATCTCTTTAGGCTCTGGCTCTCCCCACAGGAAGCCTCCCCCAACCCCAGCACCCAAGGCCCCTCCTTCATGGCTCTTTCTGACTATGGAACTGGCTGTTGATAGTCTCCCACGAGAATGTAAACTCCATGAAGGCAGCAGCACTGTCTGTCTGTCCACAGCATGTCCCCAGGGTCTCCCTGGCACTCTGTACATCCTTGATGACTGAATTAACAAGTTCATTCCTGAGAGCAGGAGGACATCAGCTCAATCCCCAGCCCTCAATGTCCTCATGGGACCTAAAAGGCCTGTGTGTACTCGAAGGCTATTCTGAGAACAGAGGCCTGGCACACAGCAGGCGTTTAGAAAGGCCACTGAATGGCCTCTGCCCTGGATCAGGAAGAGCTAGGACCAGAAGCCTGGAGGACCACTCCCAGGATGCCCTGAGCAAGCCACATCCCTGCCTGGTCCTCTACCTGCCTTTCTGTAAAATGGGGTAACATAGGCCTAGGCGTGCCTTGAGGTTTGTGGAATAAAACTGGTTATCTTCCTCCTGGCTTCCCAAGGAGCACCGCAGTAACAATAAATGACCGCAGCCACTCTCCGGGGCCTTCCTTTAAGCAGCCTTCCCCTGGATGGCCCCACGTAGACCTCACAACCCCCCTACAAGGCAGGCAGTGTCATTTCCCCACTACAAAGAGGGGCCAGAGAGGCTGAGCCACCTGTACATAGTCACACATCACTACCCTCACCATTATGATCACACCACCACCCTCACCATCATCATCACATCACCACCACCATCAACATCATCATCACATCACCACCATCATCACCATCATCATCACATCACCACCATCATCACCATCATCATCACATCACCACCATCATCACCATCATCATCACATCACCACCATCATCACCATCATTACCGCCACCCTCACCATCATCATCACATCACCACCATCATCACCATCACAACCATCACCATCACCATCATCATCATCATCATTACCGCCACCCTCACCATTATCATCACACCACCATCATCACCATCATCACCACCATCATCATCACCACCACCACCACCATCACCATCACCATCACTACCCTCACTATTATGATCACATTATCATCACCATCACCATCATCATCATTACCATCACCATCATCATCACCCCCATATCACCACCATCGCCATCATCACATCACCATCATCACCACCACCATCATCATTACCATCATTCCATCATCACCATACCATTATCGCCATCACCATAATCATCTCCATCACCACCATCATCACATCACCATCATCCCCATTATTATCACCATTATCATGACTATACTGTCATCACCACCATCAGCCTCACCATCACTACCATCACCACCATCACCATTATCATCACCAACATCACCAATATCATCATTACCATCATCATCTCCCCCAGCCCCTGACATATGCATCTTTTTTGTACGGAGCGGGAAGACAGCATTCGGGAAAGATTCCTAGCACTGTAGAATATTCATTAAAGGCAGAGGTTCTGGAATCAAACTGCTTGTGTTTAATCCCAACTCTGCCCCTTCCTAGCTGTGTGACCTTTGGCAAGGTCCTCGCCCACTCTGGGCCTCAGTTTCCTCACCTGTAAAATGCAGATAATAGTACCTGTCTGTAAGTGAGCTAGTATCTCACAGCATACCACAGGATAGAGCTGATATTACCATTTTCAGTGAGATATGGGGAAACAGAGGCCCAGAGAGCAGCAGTGACCTGCCTAGGTTCACACAGAGGGTGAGGGGGCAAGATTCAGTCCTGAGCCTCGCATCCCAAACTTCCTGCTGCTTCTAGCATCCCCCACAGCCCCTGCACTCAGCCACAGCTCTGGTCTCTCCAGCAGGCAGGACCGGCACCCAGGCCCACTCACCATGGGGAGCCGTAGATCCGGAAGCCCCGCACGGTGACCTCCGAGTCCTGAAGGTAGATGCAGTTGGTCAGCAGCGACTGCACATTCTCATAGTTCTCCGGCTTCAGCTTCGACACAGATGGGAAGTAGTAAAAGTCCTGCTTGATGAGGTCAGCCATGAACTCCTGGTCAAAGGTCAGCTCGTGGTTGCCTGCGATCACAATCTTATACTCGTAGGGCAGGCTGCCTGCAGGGGCGGACACAGACAGACACACAGCACACAGCCATCAGCTTTTCCGGAAGCCACAGCATGGCTGAGACAGGGGCGGGCAGAGGAAGCTGCTGGGATCGCTGACGGGGGTACCTCTGCTGCTGGGCCTCCGACAGGTGCCTTCATTATATCCCAACTCTTCCTCTCCCACCATGTGAGCATTCCACGGAGTGGTCAGAGGAGGCAGCAGCCCGAACCCTGTCCCTACAGTCCTGCCTGCTCAGGCTCCACTGGCCATCAGCCCTTGAAATCATCAGGCGGAGGCTGGCCAGGTTCCTCCCAGGCCACCCAGCTGCACAGTGCCTAGCCTCCCACTGGGACTTCTCTGCCTCCATTCCTTCTGTCTGGTCTAGTTTCCTACTGGAAGAAGACCTCACTCTGTGCCCCCAGCCCTAGTTGTCACCAGTCTCATGGTCCCAGGCACCCACCACCTGGGTATCCTGGACTCTTTATCCTCCACATTCCAAAAGGAATTTCAAGGTCTTTGCAGAGGTCAGTTCAAATGTCTAGAGACCCCACACTCAGGAAAAATTATAGTGCCCTCCCCGATTGCTGTGGAAATTCAAAGCCAAAACAAAGTCTAGATAGAATCAAAACAAAAATGCCAATGTATACAGCACACCAAATTACAATAGTGTCATTCTCATTTTGCTGTGTGCACACTTTTGGGTAGTTCTTCCAAGGTACACATCTTTCTCTCTCCGGGGTCCAGTTTTGTGGATTCCCTAGGCAGGAGTGTGCACTTCCACCCTGGAGACTGGCTGGGGGCTGGTTTCTCGACAGCTGCCTGGCAGGCCCCACCCACCAGGCTGGCTCTACGCAGGCGCAAGACCACCGCGGCTCCTTGGTCTCAGTAAATGCCACCAACCGGCCCTCACCCCATCTGAAAGCCAGCCTGACCCCAGGCTCAGGTCCCTGACTCCCCACTCTCCCCCACCCTCAGCCGCCAGGCTCTCATGGGCCTGGAGAGTCAAGATGGTACCTGGGAGCCCTGATGTGGATAAAACATGCACCTGGAGACCCAAGCCTTTCTCCCGGCCCCTCCTGGAGGGGAGAGTGCCCTGGACAGTGCCTTGATGGGTCAAGCAAGTGTGTGTGAAGGTGCCAGCACAGCATAGGGACCTCAGAGAGATGGGGGCCCAGACAGGAAAAGGGTGAAATTCCATAAGCAGTTCACAAAGCAGTAACCATGGCTCACGAAGACCCATACCTCATGAGGCACCCCCTCTATCCTTGAGAGACCCTGGCCCGCATCCGCTAAGTCACTCACAAGGCAAGGTGCCCAAGCCCGTCTCTGGCCGCCGGCTCCACTGAGCCCCTGCCCTGACGTTCCCTTCGCTCCTCACTGCCCCCACCCTCCGGCTGGGGCCACGGCCAGCAGCATGGGCACCGTGGTCTGTCTCCTGGGATAACACAGCAGTCCAGGAACAGCAGAGCCTTTCCTACCATGACCAAAAACACAACCTCTCCCGCTGTGTGAGCATTCCGTGGGGAAGTGAATTCCAGAAATGCCTCTGCTCCAGATACGAAGGATCGTTTTTCTTATTGGAGATGGATGCTCGCAATATGGGCTGCGGCTCGGATGATGTGCCATCACACTCAGCTCCCAGGAAGCACTCTAGAAAAAGCTCATCTTCCCAGCCCTTATGTGAGCTCCAGGGAAGGGCAGAGTGAGGTTTACGGCAGTGCACGTCCCATAACTACAGCCACTATTACATCCTCCTTGCAATGAAACAGAAGAGTCCAGAGCCCCGCTACGAGCGTCTTCTCCACCCCCATCTGTCTGTCCAACCATGTGCCCTACGGCCACGGCAAATGGCCAGTTCCCAGCCTGGCCAGGGAGGGTGGGCCAGGGCGGTGAGAAGGGAACCCCAAGGTGAGACAGATGTTTTCTGCAAAACAGGCAGAAAATCACAATCTACTCGTGGCTGACTCACCAGCCACCCCAGACTGCTTTACAGATTTGAGAAAGTACTGCTCTTTCTTCAGGATTTACCAACTCCGGGGCAGGGGGCCACCGGTACATAGCAGGCCACAGAATCTCAGCGCCAGCAGCCTGGATCCCAGACCCACTCCGCCACTAGCCAGCTGTACAACTTAGCTTCTCCGTGCCTCGGTTTCCTCACCTATAAAATGAGAAAGGTAACAGCGACCTTGCAGAAGTGTTCTGCTATCATAGAAGATAATAAATGGAAATGTACAAAACTTTTGATGTTCAAAAAAAACCAAAGAGCTTCCCTGGGCCAGAGTTTGCAAACTAGAAGCAGGCAGGCCAGACCCACCCACAGACATATTTTGTTTGGCACAACTTTTTTTAAAAAACTTGAACTTGTTGCCAACACTAAAAATGTGAGAGGCTGCTAATAACACTTCATTGCTTCCGTTTTCTCAAAATTAAGAAATAAATACAATTTAACCTCTGGCCATCCCATTCCAGTCAGGAAGTACTGAGTGTCATTCCCTTGGACAGGATGAATGCGTCCAGCTGGCCCCAGTCCCCACCTGTCCCTATTGTCTCACACCTAGTCTTCTTCATTCATTTGAAAGTACCATCCACCCCTAATAGGCATTTCAGTTTATGTCCCCAGTGACATAAAGGGAGCAGCCTGGCCAGGGAGCTTCCAATCAGGCTGCTGGGATGAGATTCTCCAAGTCCCTTCCACCTCCCCTCGCCCTCCTCTTGTTCATCAGAGCCCACCCCGGCTCAGGGGTGCTAGGAACTCCGCTTGCTGTGCTCATGGGAGAGCTCTAAGAACACGGAAGCAGGCGTGTTTGCTTCCCCCAGCTCTGTCCTTAGCAGGCCCCAGCAGAAGTCTGGCAAATGAAGCCGCCCACAGCCCCACAGTGTGACCAGGCACAGAGTGGAGAAGCCCTCTCCAGTGAGGCTCAGACTGTGGAGAGGAGAGAGGAGGGCTGCGTGGGCCCGAGCAGCTGGCAGTGGGCCGGGGAGGACACAGCAGGAAAGATGGCCACTTCCGGACCCCTGGTGGAGAGCCATGCTCTCATTTCCCTAGAGCACCCCCAAGGTACTTGGTTCTATTTTCTCCTCTTTGCAGCTGAGTAGAACGAGGCTCAAAGGCTGGGAAAGCCGCCCAGGCCCCACGGCTGCGGAGGGGGACGCTGGTCCAGTTGACCCCATACCTCTGGACTGGCGCCTCAGACTCCTCCAAGGCCAGCAGACCCAGAGCCAGTGTGTGACCCCCTCCCCAGACACACTGCAGCAGGGAGGCAGCCAGATCCCGCCGGCTTGGGTTCGGGGTAGCCACCATCACTGCCTTCGGGCTCTGATTCACCAGGTTTCCACTTCACATCACCCATCCATCCTGCTGCCCAAGCTGGGGGTGCGGAGCCCGCGCTCATGTATTCGTCATGTCTTTGACTGGGGGTGTCACTTAAGCAAATTAGCAAATTACTCCAACTTTACAGTTTCATTTATTTCTGCAGCTCCCGACTCCTGGGGATTGGGTGCGGTGCAGAAGCTGTCAGCCCTCCCCTCTTCTTGTCATCCTAGCGGGGGATGACTGAGGCTTCTTCCCTTTCAGGAAAATGTGGATGGGGCACAAGGCCCAGCTCCTGTACATAAGCCAGGCAGCAGGGCAGGAGCCACCACCTGCTGGGGTGACAGCCTCAAATACTGTCTGCTCCATAGCTTGGAAGCAGGGGGACATCCACTTATGAACACTGAAACTGTCCCAGCACCATATCCCTCTGAGTCCAAAGTCACAAATATGCCTATGGGTGTCCACCTGGACTTGGCAATTCACCAGCTGTGCGTAACCTTCACAGACACTTAGGTGTTACTATCCCCAGGGTCTGAAAAATCGAGACCCAGAAAGAGGTTGCCTAAGATCACACACATCAGTAGCAAAATGACTGACAATTACAGAGGACAGTGGACATTTGGTAGACCCTACGGCAGTATCCTGAGGTGCATTCTGCACCATCATGCTACCCTGCCTCTCGATGGATGCATGGATGGATGCATGGATGGATGCATGGATGCATGGACACCAAACTAAAGTTCCAGCATGGCCTGACCATCACAGAGTAGGGATGAGACATCTCCCCTGCTCTAGGGCTGCTACCTCTGTTGTTAGAGCCTAAGGCTGCATTAGTTTTCTAGTGTTCACATCACCCTTACCAGCCCGAACATAGATAAAATGCCCAGTGACCAATCACCAGGGGCTTTCTTGCTTAGCTTCATCACAACCCTCTGTCTAAACAGTGAATAAGGGGAGTGTTTTGGGGACCTCAAGTAATTGATGTGCAGGGGCTTTATGGGGGAAAAATGAGACGAATACAGACTTACGCCCAATGCCTGCATTGCACACAGAGGAAATGGATGTCGGTCTCTTTGCTCTTTCCCGATGTTCTTCCTCCCTGTCAGGCTGACACACAGGGGACCTCCCCCCCTGCCCTGACAGGAGCTGCCTGAAAAGGCACCAGAAACACCTGAGCCCCAGGAGAGCAGCTGTTCTCCAAGCAGGTGTGAAAAGAAACCAGGCAGCATCCACTTTGGAGACCAGAACATACCATGACCCCGTGGACCAGAGATGGGCACAACATGGAAAAGGCGAAAGAAAAGCCCTCTCTGCAGAGCACCCCCGGGCCGGGCACGGTGGACAAGCAGTGCAGGTGCGGGGGGCTGCGCTTGCCTTGGTAAGGCTCAGCATGGGCACGGATGGGTCCAAATGCCTTTTCTCATCCACCTCCCCTCATCAACCCAATGGAAGCTAAGAATCCACTGAGCTTATCCTGAGTGCCCCTTAGGCTGAATGGTCACTTTCTTCCCTGAAGCTGGACTCACTGCAAAGCCCCCAACCCTGGTCAGCTCTCCATGAGCCCTGATTGAACATGTGAACAATGTTCTCATGTTCCAGACCCCGGGGAGGCTCTGCTAGGGACACAATCATGAACAAATACCACCAAGAGGTCTGCAGAGCTCCCAATCCACGCCACTCATTGGAGGGGAAGAA